GAACGCAAGAGTGGACCCGCCAGGAATTCAGACAGGGTCCAGGACCCGCCTGGAGGAATTTTGACGGCGGTAGGGGAAACGAACCCTTTATATGCTACGGGTGCGGTCAAAGGGGACATATCCGCAGGCACTGCCCGCACGCCACGTACCCACAGTCGGGAAACGGGTATCGCCGACTGTAAGAGGGGGGCAGTCGGCAATAAGGCAAGGTGAAGTCCCCCAAATAGATCCGAACCACCACCCGGAACCTAACCACTCGACATCGGAAACGACAACAACTCAACTAGCAGCGATTTTGGAAACGTCACCAAAACGGCAAGGCATCAGAGAAACAAGTACAGCCCAGGTCAAAGGAGCAAACGTTGTACCAACATGCACCTGTCGCATCAAAATTGAGGGGACTGAAGCCTTTGTCCTAATTGATACCGGCTCTATGGTAACCATAGTGAACCCAGCACTAGTCCGACAGCACGAACACCTCACGACAGGACGACCGGTGGAGGTACGACTGAAGTCAGCCTCAGGACACCTGATACCGATACTCCACGAAGCAACAATGAAATTCGATTTTGCCGGCACAGCCAGGAAGCACCCAGCATACATTTGTCCCGACATCCTCCAAGATGCTATCATTGGATTCGACTTCATCCGCAAACACAACCTGACGATCAACCCGGCCACTATGACGGTACAGCTAGAGGACTCCAGGCCAATACCCTTACAGACAGCGGAAGGATGGGAAGAGGAGTGCGCCGGCGTACAGGTCTTGGACCCCGAACAACAGGTTCAAAAAACCGAGTGTGACATGAGCTGTCCTGGGAAATCAGAGGAAGATGTCAGCAGGACCTCGGGAGCGTCTCTTGATTCGAAGACATTGAATGGAGAGTCGCACACATCCACACGTGCAGACTCGGAATGCCCGGGCATGAAAGACCACCATCAGTCAGAAGCGGCAGTCCAGTCAACGACCCGAGGCTATGGAACGACCCCAGAATCGGTACAACCACCTAAACACGCTCCAGAAACAGCGTACTCGTCCAGTGATACCGGAAACATGTCGCCGCCCGTGTACAGTGAGAGCAACACAACTCCACACCCAGGAGAGAAGCGGGGCACGCCGCTCAAGACAGATAGGCTGCCCAGTGATGGGAGTCAGCCGCCGGGACCACTGGAAACTACCATTGAAACCCACAAGGAACCTGAGATCTGCAACAGTTCGGAACAGGATTACACGGAAAAGCAACTGGAACCTGAAGCAGCACTATGTCAAGCGGGTACAGAGCCAAAGGCAACGAAACAAGGTGAAACGAAACCAAAACAGACAATGACGTCAGGAAACCGCACTACACAAACCATGGACCGCACGGAGGCTCTACAGGAGCAACAAACAGGAACCAGCTCTGAAGAGCAAGCCACATATGCTACCAAGACAGAGTGGTCCGAGCGGCAGCCGAGCTACGAAGAGGACGTCAGCCAGACCACCCTCCCAGATGACGAATTGAAGATCGAGAGTGTACATATGCTGTACATATCTGAGCGACCCGACACACCATCAGGAGAAACAGCCCATTGCATCCCGCAGAGCAGGGCACCAGGTGAAGATACTACAGACAAACTAGACGGGCTTTCCATGGCGGCAGCAGATGACGGAAAACAAGGGACGGTAACCATCGGTCCTGTTTCTCCAGGCCAGGAACAGGCACTCAAACAGCTAGTGGAAGAATTTCATCAATGTTTTGCACAAAAAGGGGAACTCGGGGCATGTGACCTGATTCAACATCGAATCGAACTAACCACAGATGTACCAGTGAGGCGGCCGGCCTACAAGGTGGCCCATACAGAACGAGAATTCATCGAAAAGGAGATACGAGACATGCTCGAAAAAGGGGTTATTGAACCATCGATATCACCCTACGCCGCGGGAGTGGTCCTAGTGCCAAAGAAGTCTGGAGAAACTCGGTTTTGCGTCGACTACCGAGGCCTCAATGAAGTAACCAAGGCAGACCATTACCCTCTCCCGTTGGCAAGAAGCGAGATCTTCGACACACTCGGCGGGGCCCAGATTTTCAGTTGTCTCGACTGCCAGCAAGGCTATTGGCAAGTCAGTGTGGCAGAAGAGGACCGTCCAAAGACAGCATTTCGGTGTTTTCTGGGCCTCTTCCACTTCCTCCGCGTGCCGTATGGGCTCCGCAACGCTCCGGCTACCTATCAGCGCCTCATGGCTCACGTGCTCTCAGGATACACAGGAAAATTTTGTCACTGTTTCATCGATGACATCATCGTCTTCTCCAACAACTTTGAGGAGCACCTGGAGCACCTACGCCTCGTCTTCGAGCGCCTAAAACAAGCTGGCATCAAACTAAAACCATCTAAATGCGTACTCGCAAAGGAGCAGGTCCAGTACCTTGGTCACCTCATCTCACCGGGACAGCTCCGCCCAGGCCCCGAGAACATCAAAAAGATCTGCGACCTGGACGCCCCCTCCACCGTCAAAGAAGTGCGCAGCTTTCTGGGCATGGCTTCCTATTACCGAAGTTTCGTGAAAAACTTCAGCAGGCGGGCCTGGGCTCTCACAGAGCTAACCAAGCAGAACAAACCCTTCCAATGGGGGTCCAAGGAGCAAGACGCGTTTGAAGACCTGAAGGACGCTCTCACTAGCGAACCGGTGCTGGCGCTCCCAGATTTCTCAAAGCCATTCATCCTTATGACAGACGGGAGCTCGACAGGGTTGGGTGCGGTGCTCGGACAGCAGCACGAAGGAGACCCCAAGGAGAGGGTCATCAGCTACGCTTCAAGACGTACCACCCGTCTGGAGGAGAACTACTCGGCCTGTGAGCTTGAGTGTCTCGCTCTTGTGTGGGCCACGCGCCAGTTCAGAGAGTATATCCTGGGACGTCCAACGGAGGTGGTTACTGACCACTGGGCCCTGAAATGGCTACAGGACTTGAAGAACCCAAATCCAAGACTTCAGCGGTGGCGTATGGCGCTGCTGGAGTACGACCTCAAAATAACATACAAACCCGGAAAACAGCACCGGAATGCGGACTTCCTATCACGAATGTACGAAGGAGAGAGGCGACACAAAGGAAGGGAAGAAGAAATGGGACAAGAGCAAGGGAGGAACTGCAACGAAGGGGAAGGAACAGGAGAAGCTCCGGAAGACATGCTGGGTGTCATGGCAGTAACCACGCGAAGACAGGCCCAGCAGGATCAAGGGGCAGCAGAAGAAGACCAGAACCCGGGGCACTGTGAAGGAGACGAAGCAGTCAAAACCACCCAAACGGGAACGGGAAGACGGACCCTCGCTAACCTCCAGAAGGATGACCGCGACTGTCATCAGCTGAGAGAAGCCGTAGCACAAGGAAGAGAACTCCCCTCGTGGGCGCGAAAACATCAATTTCGAATAACACCAGACGATATCTTGGAGCGGGTCAGCACCACCAAAAACGGGGAGGAGAGGTGGCAGGTGGTGCTACCCCAAGTCCTGGTACAATCAGCGGTACAGGACGCCCACGCCGGACATCTCAAGGCAGGCAAAACCCTCGGAAATTTGAAGCGGAGCTTCTTCTTCAGAAACATGTATACCATCTGCAACAAATATATCGCGGGCTGTCCGACGTGTCAGACCAAAGACCGTGGACAAAGACAGCAAGCCCCTCTTGGAGACATGCCTCAACCACTTGGGGCGTGGCACACGGTGGCTGTTGACGTGCTCGGACCTCTGCCCCAGACAAAAAACGGCAAGAAGTACGTGGTAGTACTCACAGACTATCTGACACGCTACGTCCTCGCAGAAGCCACCAAAGACCAAACGGCTGAAACTACGGCAGAAGTACTCATGAAGAAATTTCTGGAATACGGCCTCCCCGAACGGATCATTACCGACAACGGAACAAATTTTACATCCAATCTCATCAAGGAGATGTGCAGACTCCTTCAAGCCGCGCATCTGTTCACCACCCCATACCATCCGCAATTTGACGGGCTCTGTGAGAGATTTAATCGGACTCTGGCCTCAATGCTGAGGGGATGTGTGGAGTACCATCAGCGCGACTGGGATAAGTACCTCCCATACCTCTTGCACGCTTACCGGGCTGCAGCCCAGGAGAGCACAGGTGAAACACCGTTCTACTTGATGTTCGGGAGACCCTGCCGGGCGCCACTCGACCTCCAGCTGAAGAGCAGACAGCTGGATTTTCCGGACCCCGCAACAGAAGTGGAGCACATCAAACCCGGCATGGTCGTGCGCATGCATCAGGCATTCGCTGACGTACAATCTCATCTGAAGGACGCTCGAGAGAAGCAAAAACACCACCACGACAAGCGAAGTCGAGAGCGACACTTCCAGGTTGGAGACGAAGTCCTCCTCCTGGATGAAAGAGTAATTGAAGGACAGACCAAAAAGCTCCACCCACCCTGGAAGCCAGGATACCGGGTCATCGAAGTCGTAGGGCCATTAAACTACCACATAGAACACCCGAGCAGACGTGGAAAGATCCACCGTGTTCACGTCAACCGCCTAAAACGACAGGTACCCGAATACGTCTGGCCAAAGGAAGCGCTGCCCGAGAGCCTCCAACAACATGACGGCACTAAGAACCCTCTCAACGCTGAGCAGCAAGTGGACAACTGGCTCAGGCTCCAAAAGAGCAAGTTCCGACCCGGCCCACTCGATCATAGCCCCGTATCGACCAGCTCGGGGAGTGCGGAGGAAGGAGAGAGTGACGGAGGAGACGGGGGAGGACGTTTTGGAACTCCGGCCGCTCCTATACCCGACCAGTTACCACACCCACCGCCTCAAGACTGCACCACCGAGCCCCGTCCTTACAGCAGGAGATCCCAACCCTCCCCAGGCATTTGTGGGACGGGACAGGGCAGGAGAAGGGCCAATAATTTTGAGACACCCATCCTGAGACGGTCCGATCGAATCCGACTCAGGCGGGAACAGCGAGACCAGTGAGACAAAAAGAAACCAACAGGAGTGTCTCCTCTTGTTCCAGACCGAGGTCATGTTCGGACGACTGGCCCTCCTGCTACTCTGGGTCGCAGCCAGCCGCACCAAAGGATCGGAAGAAAATGACGTCACGCCCGGCCTGCGAAGCGGAATCTTATTCCAGCCGAAGGGACCATTGGTGTTGGCCACCGGAACCTGGACAGCAATAGTGAGATTTCAGCAAGAGGACGTCGAAAGGCAATCAAATCAAATCCGGGAGCAATTCACCAAAATTGATAGGGCTTTAGAGAACAGCGGCGAATTTGAAGCGAACCAGACGGCCGAAGAACAGAGAACCCAACAATTTATCAGAGAAATGAAAGCCATGTGGAATCAAGAGCGTACCTGGATGGAGGCTGAGCTAAGGGCTGGTGAAGTTGAAATCCAGGAACTCAGGACGGAATTGAGACTCAGTCGCCGAGCCAGGGGACTGATTAACGCCCTTGGCGACGGTTTAAAATGGTTGTTTGGCACCGCCACGGAAACTGATGTCCAAAAACTGCATAAACAAATCGAAGGAATCACGGCCGGCGTGGGAAAACTTCATCATATTGCTGAACTACAGACCACCTTAATCGGAGAAATTTCAAAGCGTCAGAAGAACAACGACAAACACTTAGTGACGCTGGCCAGAAAGGCCATCGAGCTGGAGTCACTCTTTACAGTTACGAGAGATGCCGACCACATTACCATGCGGAATATTCGTCGGGAGCTCGATTTCGGCCACGCGATCTCCTCTGCCATCCGTACCGCAAGCGCCGCTGTGATGACTTTTCACCACGAAGTGAGGCAAATCAGCCGGGCGATGGCGCACACTCAACAAGGAGTGGTAACGCCGGCCATTTTGTCGCCCGCAACGCTGAAGACCACCATGGCGGCCATCACTAATCACCTGCCTGATGGGTGGGTGCCAGCCATCTCGCTCTCAGAAACACCGGCAAACATCTACAAGTTCTTAGAAATTTCCGCGGTGGCGCTTGAAGACGGCTGGGAAGTGCATATCCAAATCCCGCTCCAATACCGGCCATATGGACAATACCATCTCTTTAAGGTCAACTCCATCCCTACACACTTCTCTAATTCCTCAATTGCCCTAGAAGCCCAAGTCCCCTACCCATATTTCGCAATATCGAAGGACCAGCGCCTACACATTGAACTGTCGGCAGAAGAAATTAGCCGTTGCCGCCACGTCGGTGGGCGAACGATGTGCAACAAGCTTACACCTCTCATCAAGGAGAAGAGAGAGGGTTGTCTATACCATGCTTTCCGGGACGAAGAAAGCAAGGTTGAGGAAGAATGCGTGCGGAAAATGATAAAACCGAAACCGCAAATATACCCCGTAGCGGACAACAAATGGCTTTATGTACTACCAACCGAGGAGTTATTCTCTATGCAATGTGCCGGAGAAGGAATGCCAACCAAAGGGTTCCGGTTACAAGGAACAGGTATTTTCTCCCTTCCGGCCAGCTGCACTGCGATGGGAGACCATTACATCATCCCAGCTCATCTGAAAAGGCAAGGCGACACCCCAGCTGAGATGAAATTGACTGACATGACTCACTTCAAGATTGAACTGAAACCAAGTACTTTCCAAAACTACATTTCTACCAAAGGAAGGATAAACCAAACAGAACTAAATGAAATTCTTGAAGCAGCCAAAGAGACGGATCGAGAAGATTCAATGCTGACAGAGCTGAAAGAAACAATGAAGAACTGGAACGAATCCCCGGACACAGAAGGGATATCCTTCAAGTTAATCAACCACACCTCCCTAACCCTCGGAGGAGTCGCCCTGCTTGGGGTGCTCGGCCTGCTTGCCTACAACTGCAGCCGAAACAGACGACCACAGAGTACCATCATCCAACCCTGCCAAAATCCCGACCTGTCCATCCCATCTGCCCCTCTCCTGCCCGATCCCAGCCAGATATCACAACTCCAATCCCGGATCCACCACCTGGAAGTAATCACAACGGACCTGCAATGTCGCATGGAGAAGACGGCGCAACTCGAAATCGCCCTCGCTAAGCTGAAAAAACAACACGATGAGCTGACCGCCCTTCTCTAAGTCCAAACCGGACAGAGAACGGGCCGGTAACCGACACGGATGCAGGCCGACCCAGATGAGAACGGGACGCGGAAGGACGACTACAAACTCGATGAACGGCCAGGACGACTACACGACAACTAGCAGGGATATCAATCACGAGCGGCTGAGGTGGACCGAGCGGCTGTCTCAAAAAGCCACTCACCACCACTCGGCTACAACAACCGGTGGACGACTACACTCTATGGTGGACCGACTACACAACCGTCGGACTGATCCAGATGGGAACGAGGAAGGAGGACGACTACAAACCCGGTGAACGGCCAGGACGACTACACGACAACTAGCAGGGACATCAATCACGAGCGGCTGAGGTGGACCGAGCGGCTGTCTCAAAAGCCACTCACCACCACTCAGCTACAACAACCGGTGGACGACTACACTCACCGACTACTGAGGTGGACCGACTACACAACCGCCAGACTGATCCAGATGGGAACGGGGAAGGAGGACGACTCCAAACCCGGTGAACGGCCAGGACGACTACACGACAACTAGCAGGGACATCAATCACGAGCGGCTGAGGTGGACCGAGCGGCTGCCTCAAAAAGCCACTCACCACCACTCGGCTACAACAACCGGTGGACGACTACACTCTATGGTGGACCGACTACACAACCGTCAGACTGATCCAGATGGGAACGAGGAAGGAGGACGACTACAAACCCGGTGAACGGCCAGGACGACTACACGACAACTAGCAGGGACATCAATCACGAGCGGCTGAGGTGGACCGAGCGGCTGTCTCAGAAAGCTACTCACCACCACTCGGCTACGGCAGCCGTGGACAACGACCGGTGGACGACTTCACGCTATTGGTGGACAGACCAACTCAATTCATCAGGTAACGCTGTCACACCGACGGCGAGCCTGGAATGACAGCGGGCGATATACTAAACGAGTAAGCTTGGCCCAGTGTATGTGTATATAGTATGTGTATATAGTATGTGTATGTGCTAGTTTATGCTTAAAGACTGCTGTAGGAATTGGGGATGGCCGCAGCGGGCCTAAACCTGCTACACAGCAAGGGTAGATCGAGAATCGCGCGGATGTGTGATTTATGCGACCGATGTTTGAATGTGTGGGGTTAATTGGTTAGTAGGGATAAGTAAAACATGTAAAAGTCAGTCCCGGGGACGCCCCATGCTCATCCTATACTTCCTACCCAGCCAAGCACTCATGTCAAATAGCCGCCAATCCTTAAGACCCCGGCCACTCGCTCTCACCACAGCAGTCACCAGGACTACAGCGACAATGGCAACGGCAGAAGCAGACTCCCGCCCGTCTAGTCGCGGGGCGCGACTATAAAAAAGAGATCTGAAAATGTAACGCAGATGCGCCACATTTTTTTTTTCTTCTTCAATTTGAACAAGTCAGCCGTGCCACAAGCAAAAGTGCAATCATTGACCAGATCGCAGGACGGCCGACCGCGCGCCGGGCGCCGGGCGCCGGCGCACTCAGGCCGGCCCAAAAACAGCAGCTGCACCCGACTCGGACGAAAATAGGCAGAGGCTGGGACCGGGAACGCGGATGCCGATCAGCCATGTCGTCCGATGAATGGAGAGCCGGGCTGTGCACGCAAACAAAGTCATTTGACCCCCTGACCGTCGGCCTCAAAACCATCTGGCGCACCGCACAGACACGGTCAGTCGGCTCAATCGGCGGCGATACCTATTTGCGTCGCAGACCGGCGTACACAAGGGGTGCAGCCGGCTTTGACAACAAAGCTCCGCTGTGGAATACCACCCCCAATTCGTGAGAACCAGGATCTGAAGTCGACAAATAGCATGCCGGAGCACACCACCTGCCAGTGGCGAGTCATTTATCAGTTGACCCTTTGGAAAACAGGACTTGGTCCCACGCTCGGCACCCCGATGGGGACATTTATCAAGCGGACCATTACTGACAGAAGCCAAACAAGAGAAAGGGCGCAGCTGTCGACCTGGACTTCAGCGGGGCACCAAACAAGGGGAGCGGAGAAACGACCCACATTTCCGATACAATTAACCAGGAATCTGGGAAAAGAGAGTGGCTCGCCCCAGGGCTGCTGAGAGGACCGTCAATACTACACCCTGAGGGGATGCACAGCCACCGCCATCAAATCACGAGGAACTGGGGCGGTGCTTCAAGCCGAAGAAGACATCGCATTGGTTCGAGGGCGGTACCTATGTCCCTTCACCAAATTTACTCCGCCCACCAAACTGGACCGCTGAAATGACGTCACCAGGAGTATTTAAACTAGAGCAAGAAAGAAAAAGGGTCTCTCTCGGTGACGATCTACCTGGGCGGTGGGAGTGCCACTTGTAGCAGCCGACGACGCAGCAGCAGCCTACTCTCTTCAAGGAGGTCAGTCATTCTCGGAGCACAGACGGCCATTCCCAGTCCACCCGCTATAATGCCCGCCCCCTTTCGTTCTCCCGTAATGACCTACCCTCCCTCTCTCTTGTAAGCTGACCCATGCCTCCCGACGGGCGTCTCTGGGACGGGGGGGTAGATACGTGGGGAGGGGAGGCGAGGGAACGCGTGCCAGACGGCGGGCCGGCCGACCCAAGTGAAAGGGAAAGTGTTTGTGTGTAGGGTCAGTAGTGAATTCCTGACCGCTCCGCGGATACGTCCCCGGGCCGATTCAAGGTGTAGGTTCGCGGGCTCCGAGCGGTTCGATCGTGTGGGGGTTTAGACGAGCTGAACCCCCCCCGACGTTGAGTATCCAATGTCTGCCGTGAATGAGTTATCAGTGCCGACTGATTTAATTGGGTTCGAATGTGGGAGCTTGTAAATAAATCGCAGAAATAGCACAATCTATTTAATACTGGAGACTCCGCGACTAAATGGGATGGCATAGCGCAACTCACTCACGCTCGTCACTGAACACAAGGAATCGTCTAGAGTGATAATTTATTCAACAATTTCCGCGCAGTGCGACGCACGTCGTGGTTTACTGAGCGCACGCCGGCCGCCACCTCCAGACACCGGCGGAGTAGTAGCGGCTGGGGTGTCGGACGCGCTGCCACCTCGGCCGTCAACCGGGCGATCTGGGCCTCGAAGCCCAGAATCTGGGCCCGAGCTTCCTCGGCCTGGGTCTCGGCCGAACTAATAGCAGCCTCCGCACTCGTGATCTGGCGACATAGCGCCGCTTCTTGGCTATCGACTCGGGCCTCTAGTGAGGCGATGCGCTCCAGGAGCCGCTCGGTCTCGGCCCGAGCCCGGGACTCCTGGGCACACCGGGCCGCCTCCGCGTCGGCAGCGGCACGGCGAGCCGCTGCAGCCTGCTCCTCGGCCCTCTTCGCCCGTCGCCGCTCCTCCGAGGCGGTTGCCTCAGAGGACCGGAGTTGGGCCCCCAGGTGCTCGACCAGTCCGGCCAGCCGCGCTCGGTCCTCGCTGGGGAGGTCTTGGAAGGGCGGCGGCAGCAATAATGCTGCCCGCACCACTTCCATTGCGGTTCGCCCATTCTGCCTCGTAACCCAGCGGACGTACTCCGGGCCGTGGTCCCGGAGTACCGTAGCGCAGATGTTCACCACCCTGTAAGCGGACAGGCCGGGGTACGGGAGGGATTAGAATAGAACACTTTAATTGAATCGAATGTGGGGTCAGAATTATGGCGCTAAATTAAAAGGGGTGCGTTGATTGAGATAAGCATTAAATTAGATAAATTACCAAGTGACTCGAACACAACAAGTACGTAAGTGAAGTGAGATAATAGGAAGGAGTAAAAAAAAAAAAAAAAAAAAAAAAACAAGCAGTGATTATCATGACTCACCTCGATAGAGTACCGTCGCCGGAGTGTCGGTCGGGGTGCACCTGGATCTGAAGGCGCCGAACCCGTCTTGCTAAGATGGCCCGGAATTCTGGGTCCTCCAGGGACCTCAGGTCGACCCCTAGGACGAGCTCCGGTACCCATCGCAGCCGGCCCCGCTCGTCACAAAGGACGGCGATATCCAGCACGGGCGGGGTGGCCGGAGCTTCACCAGTAGGTACTGAATATGCCATCACGAGACGAAATGGCACGGCCCGACTCGCGAGGACCATATAATACGTCCGCCCACGTAAATAATTCTCAGACGGACGAAATTATTGGCGGACGTAACCCGGCGGGCCCGCTATTGGTCCCGAGAAGGCGCCGCGGCCGGCCCCCCCTCAGGGGTACCGACCAATGGACAGCGGACGGGGTCGGACGCCGCCCCAGGCGTCCCTCTGGGTAGCCATCTCAGGCCAGATGAGGGGGCCAATGTGGCGATCACGGCGGGTAAGGTAGGAGGGCTAGCTCTGAGGCGACACACATGATATATTCAACACACACAGGACCTCCCTAGCCTAACCGATACTGGAGCTTCTCCGGTTGACTCCTAAGCGCCCTTGCCAGTGGATTTCCTGGCACTCCATCCTCCCCAAATTATCCCACGGTCCAACAATAGCGATTACACACAACACACACAGGACCTCCCCAGCCTAACCGATACTGGAGCTTCTCCGGTTGACTCCTAAGTGCCCTTGCCAGTGGATTTCCTGGCACTCCATCCTCCCCAAATTATCCCACGGTCCAAACAATGGCGATTACACACAACACACACAGGACCTCCCTAGCCTAACCGATACTGGAGCTTCTCCGGTTGACTCCTAAGTGCCCTTGCCAGTGGATTTCCTGGCACTCCATCCTCCCCAATTATCCCACGGTCCAAACAATAGCGATAACCCACAACACACACAGGACCTCCCTAGCCTAACCGATACTGGAGCTTCTCCGGTTGACTCCTAAGTGCCCTTGCCAGTGGATTTCCTGGCACTCCATCCTCCCCAAATTATCCCACGGTCCAAACAATAGCGATTACACACAACACACACAGGACCTCCCTAGCCTAACCGATACTGGAGCTTCTCCGGTTGACTCCTAAGTGCCCTTGCCAGTGGATTTCCTGGCACTCCATCCTCCCCAAATTATCCCACGGTCCAAACAATAGCGATTACACACAACACACACAGGACCTCCCTAGCCTAACCGATACTGGAGCTTCTCCGGTTGACTCCTAAGTGCCCTTGCCAGTGGATTTCCTGGCACTCCATCCTCCCCAAATTATCCCACGGTCCAACCATAGCGATTATACACAACACACACCGGACCACCCTAGCCTAGCCGATACTGGAGCTCCTCCGGTTGACTCCTAAGTGCCCTTGCCAGCGGATTTCCTGGCACTCCATCCTCCCCAAATTATCCCACGGTCCAAACAGTAGCGATTACACACAATACACACAGGACCTCCCTGACCTAACCGATACTGGAGCTTCTCCGGTTGACTCCTAAGTGCCCTTGCCAGCGGATTTCCTGGCACTCCACTAATCAATCTACCAACGGTCCGCACACAAGCAACACACTAGACCTTGTTGCATACGAAATATATGTAATTTTATTCTACATGGACACTGCAAGGGATGGAACCGGGGAGATAGATGATGCACGTCACGCCCCTGTGCGTGGAGAATCCACCGACGCGGCTACGGGTTAGGAGGGAGATGAGACGCGAGTGAAAGGGCAAAAGACTGTACGCGTAGATAAATAGGATTTTCTTAATGACGCTCAGCTCGAATAGACCCCACTAAATAGTATAGGCCTCGATTGAGTAAGCCCTGGATACGTGCAATAAGTCGCGAAATTAAACGTGAGGATGAAGGCGAGTCGGGCGCAGACCGCCGAGGAGGGTCTCAAGAAATGTTACCCGGTCAGCCTCGGGTCCTGGCTCGGAGGGGACGACGGGCTGTAGTCTGTCTAACCTCTGGCTAGCGGGACACGGGACCAGTGGCCCGATTGTTCCGGCCCAGGGTAGGCCTGGGTGATAATTAAGGTCACGTGGGCCGTCGCCTGGGATGTGTATCGGCGGGTGGGCCGCCGCGAGATGACGGTGTTCCGTCTCGGATTAACAGCCTCGGAGGCTGGGCAGATTTTAGGCTGCCGGGCTGGCCCGGAAGCCCTGAACTATGACTGGAGCGAGATGCGGTCATCAGTATCACGGATGGACCTTAGTTACCCAGCCCGGTTTCAAAAAGATAGGTAGGCCCGCTATCGGTCCCTCAAGTGGTCGGCGCGGGACGTCATTTGAAGAGCGACATAGATAGTTTCGGAGGTGGTTAGGACCCCGGGCGTCTTAGCGAGGGAATCGTATGCCGCCGGAAGAGTAATGCCCCGCGAAGGAACGTATAATGCCGCAAGACGGGGGTGAACATTAGATACCGAGCATTCGAGTCGGGTGATCGCAGTCAGACGGTGCTGGCCACCCGCAGTCAGTCGAGTAGCTCCGGCCATGCTCTGGTCCTTTCGAATAGGTCTGTGACGACAGCTTAACTACCAGCCACGGATAGATAGGGTTTTGGACACCTATGTGCTGGTAGTCGACGATGTGTGTTGAGTGCAGGATGTCCCCGAGTGGACCTGCGTGCGTGGAAGACGCGTGTCGTCTTTGTAGTTAGCCGACGAGAGCTAACCCTTTTTAGGTCGCCGGGTTGGCCCGGAAACCCTGAACTATGGCTGGTGCGAGATGCGGTCATTAGTATCACGGACGGACTTTAGTTACCCAACCCGGCTTTCAAATTTTAGATACGTCCGCCGCGGAAAGCCCGGGCTACTGAGTGCCCTGCGAGCTCTGGCTCCGGAACCGTGGGCTGGAGTGTGTTAGAGATGCTGACTGACCACTGGCAGCAGAAGGTAGGTCCACACGTGAGTGGCAGTAAGACAAGGGCCGCGTACGTTGTTGCAAAGGTTTACCGGCCCATGCTGTAAGTCCATTGTTCGCTCAACAACCTGCGTGCGTGTGTGTTATTTATTTGTGTGTAGGTAGTTCAGCATGGTCTTGGACCCGCTATAAGTCGCGTAATTCAAGGGCGGAGTGCCGAAATCTGTGGTGATTCGTATATTCTATTCGTGTAGCGTGAGCATTATGAAGCGTTTGTTTGATGTACGGAGTATTGTGGTTATGAAGGGATAACGGTTAATAAAATCTAAGGTCAATGACTTAATTACGACTTGCGCACGCCTTAGCACCACCGGGGGAAGTTAGGTAAAGGGGGAGGGATCAGAGATGGTTAACTCTGATAATTTATAAGGTATGGCTGGGCGTATGACAGAAATGAGAGGGGACGGGCAAATGAACGTATGATTGGCATGTATATCCGGTGGGAGATAACCCTCAGCTAGGACGGGTGCTGTTGTTTGAGAGTGGGACCTTTGTTTAGTAGAGTTGGGTTCGTATTTCAATATGATCAAGGATAATGGGTTATTGTTTATCCCTCCTCCCATTCCTTAACCCTGGCCTATGTGTTTCCGATGATTGATCGCCCCGGAGAAAGATAGAGTCAGAGTCGGAACGGGTTCGCGAGGGGCCGGACAGAGAGATGGGCTTCATGGAGCGCGCCGACGGAGCTCATCCTACTCACGAATGACACTGCCCGGTTAGCCCCGCAACGCCGGGAAACCCCGCTACACTACCACTGGTCACGTGACTGACGGCTGCGCCGGGTGGGAGGCGGGAGTGGATCAGAACTGTCAGTTTACGAAGCACGACGCTGTCACCACTCGAGCACTCCCGACAAACACTAACAGCGGCGTCACCAACACCACTGGTGCTAGTGGAGTGAAGCCAGCACCACCGTCGCTGCTGTACCACGCGTTTGGTGCGGCCGTTCCTCATTTCCTGGCACTCAGCATGCAGAGGCCCTGACAGATCCGGGGTGCCAGAGAGGCCCAGTGCCGAGCTGACGTGATGCGCGGGGCACTCGAAGGGAGCTGAGATGGCGGGTCATTTAAAGGGAGGTGGCGATTCAAGGTAGCACCCTAATCAGTCATTTTTTTTTAGGTGAAATGATAGTTTTTCTTTTATTGTTCAAACTTAATGCAATGTAGCAAGCTAACATACAACTAACTATTAAGTTTGGTTCGACGGCATTCTGCTGTCGAAATGTGTGCCTAATCACTTCAGCTGTTCACATTTTGCAACACTTTCATTACGTATGATAAAAATCAGCTCTTTCAGTCAAGCCGATACGAATCATTTCAAACATCACTTGTGTCTTCTTTCAAAGACTGTCATGTAATAAAATCCGCACTTCATACGTGTTAAATATTTTGTCTCGCGCATCAGCAGGATAAGTAAAAAGAAACAGCCACAAATCTAATTTCGTCTTTCATCACCCAACTGCTTCATCGTCACCCTACCTCATCATCTATGCCAGACATATGTTTTATCCTTCAAATAGCCGTTTGATTGCTATTAGCCGGGCACTTTTCATCCCGTCCTGCCCCTCCACTCCATCTCTATAACGGCGCTGAATGAGCGGCGCCGCGCCGGCGGTGCGTCTACTTTGTCTCCGGGCCGCCAACACCAACAACTAATCACATTTGCTGCGATGCGTTGTCGCTGCTGATCTGCTCGGCGACTGGCGTTATTAGCTCTAAGTCGTCGCTAATAGCCACTGGTCGGCGTCGGCGCGGTGCCGGCCGCCCCGCCGCGCACGGCACGTGACACGGCCGGGGGGCGCGTGAAATTCGACCGGCTGCCATTGTGGTCGAGCCGCTCTCTGCTGCTGTCAGGTGTTCTCTCCCCTCCCTGCCCGCCGGTCCCCTCCCCTCGGCGGGCTGTGCCGAGCCGTGCCCTCTCACCCTCTGCCCTGGCTGTGCTCTGCCCTCCCGGACCTCGTCGTCGCCGCCGCCGGCTGCCTGCTTAACCTGATCCAGACGTTAGGCGCGCTAACCAATTCAATAACGGCAGCTGTGATCGCCAATCAGCGCCTATTGAAGCGCGCCGCCGCCGGCGAGTGGCGCAAAGTGCCGGCCAATGGGCTGATAAAGATCTGAGAAGCGGCTGTCGCGACGAAATGTGCCGAGCTGGCGACAATTGACCGGCTCGAACTCCGTCCGCTGCGGCGGCGGCAGGCCCGGCGGCGCTGCGGGCGACGGAGTGTGGCAGAGGGCAGGGAGGGAGCGGTAAAACGGAGCAAAGGTGAAATGTCTTAGCGATGGGGTGCCATAATATCGATGTGTAGTGAATTGACTTCACAAGAATAGTAAGGATCCTAAGCTACAATTTATGAACATTATTCGCGAAATGTTTTACGTAACTTTCAGGAATGCAGTAAGGATCACTCTCAGTTTAATAAAACGCTTGAATTTCGGCGTTGGTGCAGGTTTCACTGAATAATGCTGCACTTCATTTCCGAAGCTCGAGCTGACTGCATAGTCCGTGGAACAGTGCGCCTGTCAGGGCCGCCCTTTGTGACGGCTGTGACAGCTGGCGGCCGTGACGCAGACGTGACGAGAGTGACGCGCCGGTGACGGTTCCGGAGCGCGCCGACCGGAGGCACCCGGATGTATCCGGTAGAGACCAACAGGTGGTATTTATCATAATCAGGATACCATTTTCATACCCATGTATGGAGGCTGAAAAGTGAAAATGAAAGTGGAAAATTGCAAAATGCAAAAAAAAAACATCGATGACTCACAGCATGTAGTTTTATTGTGCTTCATGATGGGATAGTTAGCTATGATGTTGATGATCCTCTTAAAACATTTTTCTGTGATTATAGCCATTTTCTTCCTTACATAATCAAGAGTGAGCACTGTCAGGTGTTAGGTTTAATTATTGTGTTCGCTAATGGTTCCGTCGTTTGAGGATTGTGCGTAACAGATATTGCGCAAGAAAATCAGTTGAATCCGTTTGATTTATTATAGGCTTTCATTCATTTCACAGTACCAACATTACATTACACGAATAACTTCGCCTAAATAAACTGCGGGCTGTTGGCCTTTCGAGAAAAACGTATTACAATATTATCATATGGCACCATACACACCACATGAATCATTCACAAATGAGCGGGTAAACGAGTCCCGCATAATTCCCTCCTAACATTGTACGGGTGTGATCAAACTGACACTTCTAACTCATCGACTATCAATCTGAGACTAGCGGGTGCATCACAAGTGCTAGTGTAGCACTAAAATTAAGAGAGTATTGAGAATGGCGTTACACCTGGATAAAACAGGCTTTATTCTTGTTTTTGACGACAGATAATTACCTTTAGACCCAATATCAAACATATTGGGGCTTTTTATGTTAGAAGGATGCCTTCCACAACGGACATCACCTTACCTACGCCGTACGGTATTCGATGCATCAACCAATACTTAAACTTTGATGCGTAGTTTGCTCTATCTGAACTCGTTTTACAATCAAAAATGCTTCTCCAGTTCTTTCTCCAGTTCAAATCGTGCACCTTTTTCTATATGCTGGCATAAACAAAATGCCATGCGAAAAATAATACTTGAGAGCAACCATTGCCTGCCAAGCACTAGTATAGCACCGTCCGGCCCACGAGAGCATTTGAAAATGTCGAGAATGATGGTCCACACTCTTGACACGGAGCATTCAACGCTGTTCTTCACACAGCAATGAGTCAACGATAGAAATAAACGAACACAAAATCGCACGCAGAGTTCTTGCTTTCTAAGAACCGCCTGTTTCATGTGAAGCACAACAACAATGCAATAAAAGCTTTCAATAGCTAAGCTAATCACTCACCACTTCTTTGGTGACGTTCTCTGAGCACCAAGCATTCCATATTTACACAATTTCACCATCAATATTGCACGTGTGCGGCGCATAGTTCAGGAGAGTCATCAGCGGAACACTGGGTGACAGTCTTCTGTGACATCGATGTCGCCCTCGCTGTCCTCTTCTCGGTCCTCCTCTTCCTCCTCTCCTCCTCCTCCTCCGGCTGAGGGGAGGAGCTCCGAGGGAGAGCCCTCCCGGCCCAGGTCTGCAACACGACAAAGGGTCAGTACGCTGACAAAGACAACGCTTAAAAGGAAGCATATCATCACCGTTACTCCGTCTTCAATCAACATCTCAATTTATATTAAATTCTTTATTAGGTTTACTTATTCATTTATTTCAGTAATTCATCTCATCATATGATGAATTTCAGTCATTCATCATAGTGTACCAGGTAGGATAATGGTAATTGATGAGAAACGACCACGCACAAAGGTTGAGCTGGGAGTCGGCGTGGTCCATCGACGAAGGTTTGTCGTCCGACCGCCTCAGCTGCTTTTTGTACTTCATCCGACGGTTCTGGAACCACGTCTTCACCTGTAACGGGAGAAAACGTCATTGTAAGCGTATATAACGTTACGTCTGGCAGCTTTTTATGACAAAGTCCACCAACCGACTGGAAATGCATCGACAAAATGAGTCTGACATTTGTCATGCTGTGTCCCAACTCCTAGTGGCTGCTGTGCTGCTGACCTGTGTTTAAGTGAGATTGGTCTGTGTCTCGGTGGGACCCATCTGTGTCTCCTTGAGGCTGACCCATGTCTCCTTGAGGCTGACTTGTGTCTTGGCGAGACTGACCTGTGTCTCAGCTTAGCGTGACTTACCTGGGTGTCTGTGGGGATGACCTGTGTATCAGGAAACTCAGCTTTGTTTCGGTGAAACTAATCTTTGTCTCAGTGAGGAGCTCACCTGTGTCTCACTACCTGTGTCTCAGTGAGGCTGACCTGTCTCTCACTGAGACTGTCCTGCGTCTCGGTGAGACTATCCTGTGTCTCACTGAGACTAACCTGTGTCTCAGTGAGGCTGACCTGTGTCTCACTGAGACCCACCTGTATCTGAGTGAGACTAACCTGTGTCTCACTGAGACCCACCTGCGTCTCAGTGAGGCTCAGCGCCGAGGCCAGCTCCACTCGTTCGGGTGTGCTCAGGTAGCGCTGCGACTTGAATCGCAGCTCGAGCCCACTGAGCTGCTGGTCCGAGAACACGGTGCGGGCCTTCCGGCGGCGGCAGACGCGGCCCACGTCCGTGGAAAAGTAGGTGGAGAACGGCAGACCTGCCGGGCGGTAGAAAAACACACTGTCATTCATGTAAAACCGAAGAGAAGTCAAAATGAATAACATATCGATTGTGCTCATACGCTTTTCGTTTGAATCATTGTAAAAAATAAATCTGCGCTTAGGTTAAAAGGGTAGATTAGGCTGAGCTCCTTAACCCGCGCCCCGTAGGGCTACCGGCGGACCCTACCACCCGTAGGGGGGGGGGGGGCCGTTTCGGCCCCCCCTAAGATCTCGGAAAGTTACCGGCCGATTTTCAAAATTCAAACGGCGTTCGATAGCCCCACCCGGGAACTACCTTGTGACCAAATTTCATTGACCTAGGTCAAACCGATGACGTCACAGGTCAGGTCAAAGGTCAGATTTTCACCGTTCACAGGCATTTCAAGAAATGTGTTGTGAAATCGAGTTAATTGGTAATTTATTGAAAACCATCGATGGTACATTGTTCGTCAAACACATACTTTGCTATCTGAGGTCACTGATACCAGGTCAGGTCACAGCGAGGTCAGGTCACCGGGGTCACAATATGAAAGTGTCGTGTGATACATGTTTTATGGTCCATTTTACATGACAAATGCGATTATGTGGGTTAGGCAGCCTTTGGGGCCAGCCTAGGTCACGTTTTGGTGAAGGTCAGGTCAAGGTCAGGTCAAATAAGGTCAAATTTCAAAGTTGATATTTTTGCATAAAATGGGTATCGATTCGATGCAGCTCGTCACGGGGAGTCTAATGGTGGTCTTTGTTTTGCTCTACGAGGTCTAGAACTGCCAAAAATTGAGTTTGAAAATTTGACGTCATCAATTTTGAACAGTTTTTTCGCTATAACTTGGCCAAAAAACGAGGTATCGATCTGAAATTCGGTATGTAGATAGAAGACGGTAGGTACTATCACATATATTCCGGTTTTTTTGAAACTCAAAAAACTTTTTGGATTTTTTGGCTAATATATCCAAAAAAATGTTTTTTTGATTTTTGGGGTTCAAAACTCAAAAATTTCAAAAATCCGAGATAGCAGTTTTGTAGCCCTGTCAATTCTACACCTTTTATGTCTTGATCATTTTTCTGTATCTTCAAAGCTGTAGGCCTGACAGGTCTTCTCGCGAAGGTCTTCTTTCGGTCGAAAATGACAGAACATGACGTCATTCTGACGTCATTTGTGGCCAACCTATCATAGCTTCTGGAAAAATTTTTGGTCACAATGTGTAAAATTGATGCCCGGAGGGGTCCTGAAAGTTTGGTGGCGATATCTGAAGCGGTTTAGGAGATATCGACCGAAAAGGACAGGGGGGGGCCGTTTCGGCCCCCCCCCTACGGGGCGCGGGTTAAGGTATAACGCTTTTGTATCACTGTGCAATGTCTGCATGACTGATAAAGAGTCGAACAGTCCTACAACTGTCGAGTCTATGCAAGCTGTTACGTGAATGCCGGTTGCAGCCTTCATGCCTGCTGAGAAGCCGGGTGGTCCGGAGAACAAGAATCCGGCGGCGCCGGTCGACTCGGGTTTGTGCAGATAGTGCGGCAGATACGCCGCGGCGGCGGCTGCGGCGGCCATTCCGGCGCTCATCGCCGGCGGGAAGAGCGACAGTGGCGCAGCGGCGTCATCGGTCGGGGGGCGCCGCTCCGAGTACCGTGACTCGGCCGCCTCCGAGTCCGACTCACACTGGGGGGACGAGCGGGAGAGAGTCACAAGACTCCGACTCACACTGCACGGGACGGGTCAGAAAGGGAGTCACTAGAGTCCGACTCACGCTGGGGGGACGAGCGGGAGTCAGGAGAATCAGACTCACACGGGGGGAGAAGGGGGGCAGGCCAGAGTGGAAGTCACTCGAGTCCCACTAACACTGCCGGGGACGGGTCAGAGTTTTACTCACACCCTCGGGAAAGGGTCAGAATGGGAGTCACGAGCGACAACATATGAGCCAGATTGAGCCACGAGCCACGAGCGTACTTTCTTATGACAATGATATCTATGAAGACACTCAAAACTTTTTTACTACCTCCTGGAGGGTTCATTTTCATCAAACCCGCAAGATAAGAGTATATTGAAAGGGTAACTCGCTGCTACCATTATGTGCATAGTAACGGTACGTGGTTAATATGAACTTATTCGCCAGCGAAGAGTATTATTACCATGTAAATATCAATATTACTCTCGCGATCCAGAACATCATGAAAACTCTTTCCTTCTGGGTATCGTGACTCGTGCACAGATAGTCGTTTCATGCGTGGATCTTGTTTACCCTCGTGAAGATGATATTTGAAATGGAACCAATCAGCCAATCAGAAACGAGATCGGCCGTTTGCGGTTTGAAGGCCGCGCGCATGTCAGTTTTCGGCCGTTGGTCTCCGAGAGAGGATGTGAGCAGTGTCGGTGCGGCGCGGCGAGGCCGTTGGTGATTGTGCTTGTGTGCTGTTCCTCGCCTATAGAGCCTCTATGGACATTTTGTTGTAAGTACTGATGTGCTAGAGCATTGCGTGCCGTTGAGTGGTGCTAATTTGACCTGGTTAACAGGACCCCGTGCACGGCCACGTGGGTTAGTGTTGTGAGTAGGTACATTAATTTTGTTGTGATGCTACAAGTTTATGCATTTTGTTGGTGACTTTGAAAAAGACTTGTACTGTAGTGATCCAGTCTCATTATCTCACGCATGGACGGGCGACCGCCCAGTAACGCCGTCGCTCACTTCAAATATTTTGCGCTGTGCCTTATCCAATATGAGGGCGCTGAATGTCTTGATAGGTATCCATATTCAAATTGCATTCAAGTTGTATCGTGGTGTTTATTTATCGCTTGTGCATTGCTGAACGCTTTGTATAAATTCGTATGAATAAGTGAAGAGTCTCACAATGTTCATGGCTGGTGTGCCCCTCGTATTGTTTGTACGGAAGCCAAATATACATTGTTGCTCAGCATGTTTTTTTTAGTTGGTGAGCTCCGGTTAACAGAAGCTTCGTGAAGCTTCTGAAGGAAGCGTCTGTGTCTGTGAGTCTGTTACCATCCTCTAGGGGGTTAACACTAAAGGAAAGAGTAAACATTACCATGTGACAAAGGGTAGGCCAGAAGAATATACTCTCTGTAGGAGGGTAAAGCACAGAGAAGATGATGCGTTACTCCATAGAAAAGGGTTCCGTTAAAAATTTACCCTTTCAAAGAGTGTAACCCAAAAAATGTTACACTCTAGACAAGAGTAAATCAAAAGAGTTTACCATTCAGAAGATGGTAGAAAACGTCTGTGTGTCATGTTACCCCTCCCTGGCGAGTTTACTCTTCATGAAAGAGTAAAATTTACCATCTGGAAGGTGGTAAAAAACGTCTGTGTGTCAAGCTACCATGCTATGGCGGGTTTACCCTTCAGGAAATGGTAAAAAAGTTTTCAGTGGACCACTCAAAACTTTTTTACCACCTCCTGGAGGATTCATTTTCACCAAACCCGCAAGATAAGAGTATATTGAAAGGGTACCTCGCTGCTACCATTATGTGCATGGTAACGGTACGTGGTTCAATTGAAGTTATTCGCCAGCAAAGAGTGTTATTACCATGTAAATATCAATATTACTCTCGCAATCCTAGACATGACGAAAACTCTTTCCTCCTGGGTATCGTGCCTCGTGTGCAGGTGGTCGTTTCATGCGTGGATCTTGTTTACCCTCGCACTCAAAACTTTTTTACTACCTCCTGGAGGATTCATTTTCATCAAACCAGCAAGATAAGAGTATATTGAAAGGGTAACTCTTTGCTACCATTATGTGCATAGTAACGGTACGTGGTTGATATGAACTTATTCGCCAGCGAAGAGTATTATTACCATGTAAATATCAATATTACTCTCGCGATCCAGAACATCACGAAAACTCTTTCCTTTTGGGTATCATGACTTGTGTACAGATAGTCGTTTCATGCGTGGATCTTGTTTACCCTCTTGAAGATGATATTTGAAATGGAATCACTCAGCCAATCAGAAACGAGATCGGCCGTTTGCGGTTTGAAGGCCGCGCGCATCTGTCAGTTTTCGGCCGTTGGTCTCCGAGAGCGGATGTGAGCAGTGTCGGTGCCGCGCGGCGTGGCCGTTGGTGATTGTGCTTGCGTGTTGTTCATCGCCTATAGAGCCTCTGTGGACATTTTATTGTAAGTACCGATGTGCTAGAGCATTGCATGCCGCTGAGTGGTATTAATTTGACCTGGTTAACAGGACCCCGTGCGGCGTGCACGGCCACGTGGCCTAGGTTGTGAGTACGTACATTAATTTTGTTGTGATGCTACAAGTTTATGCATTTTGTTGGTGACTTTGAAAAAGCCTTGCACTGTAGTGATCCAGTCTCATTATCTCACGCATACGGGCGACCACCCAGGAACGCCGTCGCTCTCTTCAAATATTGTGCGCTGTGCCTTATCCAATATGAGGGCGCTGAATGTCTTGTATTCACATTCAAAGTGCATTCAAGTTGTATCGTGGTGTTTATTTACCGCTTGTGCATTGCTGAACGCTTCGTATAAATTCGTATGCATAAGTGGAGAGTCTCACAATGTTCATTGCTGGTGTGCCCCTCGTATTGTTTGTACGGAAGCCAAATATACATTGTTGCTCTTGAAGCATGTTTTTTAGTTGGTGAGCTCCGGTTAACAGAAGCTTCGTGAAGCTTCTGAAGCAAGCGTCTGTGAGTCTGTTACCATCCTCTGGGGGTTTACACTAAAGGAAAGAGTAAACATTACCATGTGACAAAGGGTAGGCCAGAAGAATACACTCTCTGTAGGAGGGTAAAGCACAGAGTAGATGATGCGTTATTGCGTTACTCCCTAGAAAAGGGTTCCGTTTAAGATTTACCCTTACAAAGAGTGTAACCCAAAAAATGTTACACTCTAGACAAGAGTAAATCAAAAGAGTTTACCATTCAGAAGATGGTAAAAAACGTTTGTGTGTCATGTTACCCCTCCCTGGCGAGTTTACTCTTCATGAAAGAGTAAAATTTACCATCTGGAAGGTGGTAAAAAACGTCTGTGTGTCAAGCTACCATGCTGTGGCGGGTTTACCCTTCAGGAAATGGTAAAAAAGTTTTCAGTGCGTGAAGACAATATTTGAAAGAGTATCAATCAGCCAATCAAAAACGAGATCGGCCGTTTGAAGGTTGAAGGCCGCGCGGCGCGCGCGCATCTGTCAGTTTTCCGTCGTTGGTCTCCGAGGGAGGGTGTGAGCAGTGTCGGTGCGGCGCCACGTGGCCGTTGGTGATTGTGCCTGTGTGCTGTTCATCGCCTATAGAGCCTCTGCGGACATTTTATTGTAAGTACCGATGTGATAGAGCATTGCGTGCTGTTGAGTGGTGCTTGTTTGATCTGGCTAACAGAACCCCGTGCACGGCCACGTGGCAGAGTGTTGTAAGTAGGTATATACATTTTGTTGTGATGCATTTTGTTGGCAACTTAGAAAAAGCCATGCACTGTAGTGATGCAGTTTAATTATCCCACGTAGACGGGCGACAATCCAGGAACGCTGCCGTTCACTTCAAATGTTGTGCGCTGTGCCTTATCCAATTCGAGGGAGCTTTATTATTATTTATATTCAAGTATTCATTTAAAGTGTTCATATTTAAGTTGCATTCAAGTTGTATCGTAATGTTTATTTACCGCGTGTGCATCGCTGAACGCTTTGTTCACTGAAAACTTTTTTCCATTTCCTGAAGGGTAAACCCGCCATAGCATGGTATGCTTGACACACAGACGTTTTTTACCACCCTCCAGATGGTTAATTTTACTCTTTCATGAAGAGTAAACTCGTCAGTGAGGGGTAACGTGACACACAGACGTTTTTTACCATCTTCTGTATGGTAAACTCTTTTGATTTACTTTCGTCTAGAGGGTAACATTTTCGAAGTTACACGCCGTGGAAGGGTCACTCTTTAACTGACCCTCCTCTAAAGAGTAGCATGCCATCTACTCTGTGATTTACCCTCTTGCAGAGAGTATACCCTTTTGGCTTACCCTCAGTCAAATGGTAATGCTTACTCTTCCCCAAAGAATTTACCCCCCAGAGGATGGTAGCTTGACACACAGACGTTTTTTAGCACCTTCCAGATGGTAAATTTTACTCTCTCATGGAGAGTTAACTCGTCAGGGAGGGGTAACGTGACACACAGTCGTTTTTTACCATCTTCTGTATGGTAAACTCTTTTGATTTACTCTCGTCTAGAAGGTAACATTTTCGAAGTAACACGCTGTGGAAGGGTAACTATTTAACGTGACCCTGCTCTAAAGAGTAGCATGCCATCTACTCTGTGATTTACCCTCTTACATAGAGTATATCCTTCTGGCTTACCCTTAGTCACATGGTGATTTTACTCTTTCCTTTAGTGTAAACCCCCCAGAGGATGGTAACGGGCCCACAGACGCTTTCTTCAGAAGCTTCGCGAAGCTTCTGATAACCGGAGTTAATCAACATGCTTCAAGAGCAACACTATATATTTGGCATTCCGTACAAACAATACGAGGGGTTCACCAGCCATGAACATTGTGAGACTCTCCACTTATTCATACGGAGTTATAACTCCGTATGCCCATCGAATGAGACTCTCCACTTATTCATACGGAGTTATAACTCCGTATGATTAAGTGGAGAGTCTCACAATGTTCATGGCTGGTATTGTTTGTACGGCATGCCAAATATATTGTTGCTCTGGAATCATGTTTTTAGTTGATGAACTCCGGTTAACAGAAGCTTCGCGAAGCTTCTGAAGAAAGCGTCTGTGGGTCCGTTACCATCCTCGGGGGGATTTACACTAAAGGAAAGAGTAAACACTACCATGTGACTAAGGGTAAGCCAGAAGAATATACTCTATGTAAGAGGGTAAAGCACAGAGTAGATGGCATGCTACTCTTTAGAGGAGGGTCACGTTAACCCTATTCCTGGCGGGCTCCGCCGGGACAAGAAACTGGCGGGGGGGCCGATTCGGCCCCCCCCTGAGATCTCGAGAACGAAGCAAGATAGCGACAAGCGGTAAACGGCATCGGATACGCACGGCCAAGATCTACAATTTTTACTAAGGTCATTTTCAGGTCAGGTCAAAGATGACGTCACAGGGGTCGAAAAAGTCAAGATAGGAACAAACTAAGGGCATCATCGTGATCCTCTCGTCAATCCGCATCGAATGATATATATGTTGACCTCGAAAGGTTAAGGTCAAAGGTTGACCTCAGGTCACGTGACCTCGAGGTCATCATGTATATCATTCGATGCGTCTTGACGAGCTGAACACAATGAGACCATCCACGCGTCTGTATCTTGTTCCTGTACGGAGTTATTGGCCAAAAACCTTTGGTGACCTTTGATGACGTCACATGACCTCACAGCTGCCCAACAGCAAAACAGACCTCAAGGTAGTGAAGGTTGATCGTATATGAAGTCATGTATGGTATATGGGGCCATTCCGACCCGTTTTAGTGGTAAAAACAGGGAGTTGATTTTTCCCCCATTGACTTATAATGGGGAGGTCGCGAAATTGACCTGACCTTAGGTCACCGATATCAAAATTCCGAGATATACAAATTGCACATACTGGTACCCTAACTAAACCCTGAAGAGAAGAAATTGATCGGTCAAAAACTCTAGCTGTGGCGTGATTGCAAACTTTTCTGAGGTAGGGTCACCAAACCGCCTCTGGTGACCTGACCTGAGGTCAGATCAACTCAAAATTTTCAGACATGTTGCGTAGAAGCCTTTTAGGAAAAGTCAGAAAATTTGAGCTTCCTAGCTCAACGCGTTTGGGAGAAATAACCAAAAAACCTCAGGGGGGGGGGCTCCTGAGGCCCCCCCCCCGCCAGGAATAGGGTTAAAGAGTTACCCTTCCACAGCGTGTAACTTTGAAAAATGTTACCCTCTAGACGAGAGTAAATCAAAAGAGTTTACCATACAGAAGATGGTAAAAAACGTCTGTGTGTCACGTTACCCCTCCCTGACGAGTTTACTCTCCATGAGAGAGTAAAATTTACCATCTGGAAGGTGGTAAAAAACGTCTGTGTGTCAAGCTACCATCCTCTGGAGGGTAAACTCTTTGGGGAAGAGTAAGCATTACCATTTGACTGAGGGTAAGCCAGAAGGGTATACTCTCTGTAAGAGGGTAAATCACAGAGTAGATGGCATGCTACTCTTTAGAGGAGGGTCACATTAAAGAGATACCCTTCCACAGAGCGTAACTTCCGAAAATGTTACCCTCTAGACAAGAGTAAATCAAAAGAGTTTACCATACAGAAGATGGTAAAAACGTCTGGGTGTCACGTTACCCCTCCCTGACGAGTTAACTCTCCATGAAAGAGTAAAATTTACCATCTGGAAGGTGGTAAAAAACGTCTGTGTGTCAAGCTACCATGCTATGGCGGGTTTACCCCCCCGGAAATGGTAAAAAAGTTTTCAGTGTGGAGGAGAGAAGACCGTCGTCTGTCACCCAAACTCTACTGCGACAAAGTTCATAGGGGAGCTAATCAAAGCAATGATCGGGCAGCAAATGATGGCTGAATGAATAAAGCCTACCTACAGTATATTATATCAGACTTTGGACTTATATCTAAAAGCAACAGAAGAAACGATTCACTCCAACCGGCTCATCTGATGCGCTCCTAATGTTTGAAGGAACTTGTTATACTGTTATTATCTTTATGCTTATATCAAGCAAGGCCATGTATCAAGAGGTACAATAGTTCAAACAGCAAAGCTACTAAAAATTAGCATCGAAATGGAGCTAATAGTACATACCTACAATCTACATCCTGCAAAGCTTACCGAATCTCCCTTGCCTAAGATGTCCTCGATAAGAAATGACTTCGGCTTCTGGAAGCTGTACTTGAAGTCGTCTCTGGAAGAGCTCATGACAGGAGTATTATATTCTGCAAAGTAGAAATGAATATAGTTGTAAGACATTTAAAATAAGTTCACCAAGTGGCAAGTTGTAATGGAAAGATGACTCACTTCTATAACCGTTAAATGTAAAAAAGTTTTGTTAAAGCCGCGCTATTATACGCACTAAACGCTGTATAATTTGGCATTGGTTTGGTTCTTGTAAACCAAGTTTCGTTTCCCATCGACAAACTATAACTAAAAGCTGTAAACATGCCGCAAGAATTTCTCAGTTTTGCTCAGTCGTTGACGAATGCTGTAGGGCAGGAAAAGAACAGATACGATACATTTATACCCCTCTTAATTATAATACGTTTTAAGCAGCTGGGGCATTCCACGTCAAATCAAACACCGAAATCCGTCATCCCCTTCGATTTTTCTGAAAATTTGTAGGCAGACTGGGCATGGTTCAAAACTGAGTTACGTATAATATTTTCGAAATTTGATAACGTATCGCTGAGATATAGGTCATCGAATATAGCGAAAAATGCCACACATCAATTTTTTAAATGGCTATAACTCTGGTTCCTTTTCTGGTATCAAAATGATATTAACAGGGTCTTATAGGCAATTGATAAGGCTTTGTTTTTTAATTATAAAATTAAATTGAAGTGACCTTGAAATGCTTTTGACCTTGAATTAAAACAGAAAAAATTAAATAGCAAAAAACACGTCACCTTCGATTTGGCTAATTTTTACATATTATGTCCGTCACAATGTTCCTAACCATCTGTGAAAAAATTGGAGTGGGCCATTCATAACTTTCGCGGCAAACGCCGTTTTCATGCATCAACATCACGCAACCGCGCGTGACCTTGAAAGACAGAGTCAAGACATGCTTGCTTGTGTACACTTTCTGAAATGAATGATTGCTGATTAGTGATATCCTAAACTCTGCGAGAATGGAAATGCATAGTCATCGTAGTCAAGCATTCACGTTCCATAGTAAAAGTGTCTCAGGCAAACGGTATTTTGCGGTGAATTTTGAGCCGTGTGGAAATGCATCATGAAGTAAATTCAACGAAAACATTATCACGCAACGATATCTTCACGTCTTTTGATCTTCACTATACGAAAGAACATACATTTTATAGTATGTATGGGGAATTTCTAGTTAATCCAATAATAAATATGGCAGTTAAAGGCCTGCTAAGAGTAACATGTCGCCGGCTGCAAGGCGGGCTCGGCCGATGCGGGAAATGCAGCAATCACAATTTTCTGTTTACACGTTCATATTTCAATTGTTTACCAACCGATTTTCAAAATTCTTTCACCATAAGATTGCCTGTACATTTCTTAGTCTTCTCACAAAATTGGACGCGAATCGAACGAAATCAGCGGTAGGGAGCGCGATGTAAAGACGGAACCGTTCCGTTCCGTCCCGGCACAGTCTACAATTCAGGCGGCGCGTAGCGGTCGGCGCCGGCTGCCGAGTCGCCGCGTCGCTGCGGCGACAGGATGTTCACTTTACACCGCTATTACTAGAACAGTTGTGAACCGATTTTCTTATTGCTTGCACGATGAGATGTCCAATTCAATTCTTGACAGGTAGCCATAATTAATTTCGCATTAATCTTATGAGATATTGGCGAAAAACAGGAGGGGTGGGCGAAATTCGCTCTTCCTCCTCCACTGCGCGTGCTAACATACGTTTGCATATGTGCCATTTTCTTCAAAACTTATGAATGGCCCACTCTAATTTTTTCACAGGTTGTTAAGAATATGGTAGGCAATAAAATATATGAAAATGAGCCAAATCGAAGGTGACGTGTTTTTTGCTATTTCGATATTTGTGCTTAAGAACAGAGTTAAGCAAATTTCAAGGTCATACATTTAAGTAGGTGCAATTATAAACAAATGCTGAAGAAATTACCTAAACAGTAAGGGTTATTTCATTCAAATCAAACAAGTACAACCAAAGTTATGGTCGTTCAAAAATATAAAGATGCAACATTTTGTAAAAATTTGATGCCCTTTATTTAGAAGACCTGTGGTCAGAATGTGCAAAAAACATCAATGTAATGTCCGGGGCCACACAGGAACTCGCTCACGAATTTATAATGAAATCGCTGATGGTAAGGTGCAAAACAGCCGATTTTTGTTCGATTTGACGTGGAATGCCCCAGCTGTTAATGCTCATTTTTGGTGCATCGTGTGCCTTTAGCCAAGGCCCTAAATCTAACCTTTATCAACCCACTAGCGTACTTTTAATGGTATCCCGATCGGCGGTCAATAAGTCGGTACCCATATTTTCTATGAGAGGTGGTCACTCACTACTCGGGATATCAGATTCTCCCGCCGTATACGGCCGTAGTGGCTAGAGTATACTCTAGCCACTGACTGATGAATTATGAGCATCGGATCGTGTTAGCTGTATTACATCGGGCGAGCTAATCGATTGTTATTGACGGTACCGAGGCATTACTGGTTATTATCCTCTTAATTGACGGTTAACGAGGCTGAGGCAATTTGGTGGGATAAGGATCGATATGTCCAGGTCCGGTCTAAACTCGGCGAGCTCTTCCGATATGGATCGACAGTTACGGGCGGATGATGACAGCCCACTCCTTATTTGGGCGGAGATGTGCAGTAGCTCCGTTTCGGGAGAGCTCGCGGGCCAGCTGCACCTTTGTTGTGATAAAGACATCGACTGTGATTAGACTATCCTTTATCCAGCGCTGCATGCATATTTGTCATCGATACTTAGCCTCCTATAACTTACATCATAGCAGGGACGTATCCAAAGGGGAGACGGGGGCGGTCGCCCATCCCTATTGTATTGTATTGTATTGTATTGCATTGTATCCCTGGCCCCCTTTGGGCCTAGCCAGGGACAGTTTGGGACCGGCAGGCCAAAAAGTGGAAGAGCTGGTTCAGAAGGATTTATTCGAGCCTTCGGGTTCAGTGATGGGCAGCTGGGGCCCTGCCGGGTCACAAACGGGTATGTAACTGGGCCCTTCGGCCCCACGTTTGGGCAGAGCCAGGGCAATTTGGAGCCCGAAAGGGCCCCAAAAGCAGAAGGATCCGTTCAGAAGGATATGCTCGAGCCTTCGGGCTTGAGGAAGGGCTCTTATGGCCCTGCCGGGCCCCAGACCTTATCGATTTGGAGCCCCAAACACTTATCGGGCCCGAAGCTCCCGCTTTTGAGCTGATTGACCTTGGAGAAGTTATGGCAAGCGGATAAAAAATCCTTTTCTGGGCCCAGTCACAGGGACGTCTTGGCCTGTCCGGGCCCGAGTGGAATGGCCCGCTGAGGAGAACTTGCCCAGGCTTTCGGATTCAAAAAAGGGCACCATGGGGCTTTGCTGGTAGGTACTATATATATGTAAGTACAGAACGTATTGTTGCGTTTTCTGGCTAAACTAGTAGTGGACTGTATTTGAACCGCCGAAATTAAAAGTGATTCTTCACATGGGGGACTTGCGTCCAACCCACATTGCTTGCTTCAACTCCAGCAAATGAAAAATGTCCTCTCTCCTCCGCTGTATTGGGGATCATATACCACAAATCAAACCAGTGACTTAAAATGCAAATGCGAGCCCTCTTATTCCCCTTAAGAACACAACCCGAGTCTGAGGGACTTTTGGGGAGGGCAAAGGATTATAGGAGAGTAAGGCGGGCCAGCTAGCCAACGCTCATACTTAGAGGAGGGAAGGATCTGGGGTAATTCCGCCGCTGAGTCAGTGCCAGCCCACACCTAAAGGAGACAGAGCGTCCAGCCTTCGTTGGTGAGGGGCAGCGACCGACTGACCACCGCTCCGACCGGTGACCCGACCTCGGCTCCGCTGAGCGCCCGAGGCGGCCGCCCGGCCGGCATTCACCGGCGCCCCGGAGCTGCTCGCCCGCGCCCCAGCCGCCCCGAATCACCGCGGTGGGCGGCGCACAGCGGGCGGTGGGCGGCGGGCAGCGCAGAGGAGGGGAGAGAGGGACCCGTGAGAATGATACAGCGCCACATTCTCCCCACCTTAAAATTAACAAATTTTAACAAACGAAACAAAATCAACAGCACTTGACAAAACAACTCGTATGGGCGACTCGCAATACAGGTGGCGGCCGTGCCCGCATCAACTGGACACCGCAAGGTTCCAGGCGCAAAGGCACAAATCAAACACAATTGCCACTTGACACTTTGCCTCACAATGTTCACCGTTGCCTGCTTAGGAGGCACGCCGCGGGTAACCTCACGCCGCTAACACTGAGCCACTCTGGAAATGTCTCGCACTGGGAGATGTCCCGGCCTCTGGCGTTCAGCCAACGGAGCGTCAGGTCGTTGCCGATGTTGCCGTGGAGCGGACTCAAAGTCACGTCTCCCCTGGCCCGGTTGGAGATGCCGTCGCCATCCTCCTTGGGGACGAGCGGTGCTCTGCAAGCGAGGTCGTCGCTTTGCAGCAGGTGGGTGTCGGAAACGGACACGGGGCCGACCGGCATCCGGTCGCTTGCGTTTCCGGTTCCGGCGACGTTCTCCCCCATCCGGGGGGCAGCTGCTTCCTGGACGTCGAGCTGCAGTGTCAGATCCGTCATCTCCTGATGGTGGAGACATATGATCAGTTGGGATGTCTGGGCCTGTAAGCCTACGACACAGACACGAATGACGGGCGTTCCACTCCCAGACGAGGTTCTTTTGGCAGCAGACTTTCCAGCCATGCGTGCCTGTGCCGGTGCCGGGTTTCCCCTCGCCAGCCCCAGTCGAACCATCAAAACCGTTTTGAGGTTTATCCCTCTCGAACACTCGCTGATGGGGGTGGAAAACAGCATGTTCTCCCTCTTTGAGGAGGTCAGGGTCTGAGGTCTGATGGGAGGCTGGTGAGTGTATCCGATCGCATGTCTCTTTTGGACGATCGTCACATTGCTCGGCCATTGTTCCTGCCAGCATGTTCGTGCTCTGCCCATGATACTGGCGGACTCCTTCCTCTTTCCGTCTCCCAGTCGTCCGTTCAGAGTGAGCAGCAGCCGTGTCCTGACTGCCCACTGGG